TTAATAAAGCGTGCACATGGATCCGCATGTCTCATGTCTTGTCAGCCCCGTAACACAACCCAATCGCTGGGTTTGTCCATATTTTACCCAGCGCTGGGTTGTATTTAACCCAGCATTTTTTAGAGTGCATCTTTAACATATTAACTGAATTTTGTTAGCCATATTATAATCATGTTCAAACTTTTTACCTGAATAAATTTGCATCAAAATATGATTATTTCAATAAAATCAAATAGATGAAAATATTTAAAAATAAATAATGCCATGTTTAATTTAATTAAATTTTTTGAGTGCAGAAATCCTAAAATAAGACAAATATCTTTTGAGTGTTGAGAGATGTTTTTGAGTTGATTTTTACCTTGACAAAAATAAATAAAATAAATATAAAATGTAAAAACAAACAAACAAACAAATAAAAAAATGTTTAAGTGCAGAAATCTTACCCGTTAATTTATTTTATGACTGACAAATATGCATCATATGAAGTTAGTTTGAAATATTAGTTTATATTAAAACTTGCAATCCAAATGGATTAAAATTCAATGCAATTCAAATACATAAATCTTAAAATAAGACAAATATTTTTTGAGTGTTGAGAGATGTTTTGAGTTTATTTTTACCATGACAAAAAAAAAAAAAAAAGTTAAAACAAACAAATAAATCAAAAATAAATAATTAGTTGATTTTACTAATGGACACTTGTCATCCATCCCTATAGTACAGTAGTTAACTCAAAGTAGTTTTTGATACTCCAGCAAATGGTACTCTTGGAAATGGAAACATAGAGAAACAAAAATAGGAATATTATATACAGTACAGTACTACCCACCATTTATTTATTTAGAACAATAGTGTGTGTACATGTACATGGATTACTCCTCTGTGAGGCTGTTCTCTTGTTTCATGGCCTTTACTGAAGCTGTAAATAAAAAATTCAGCTTAAATTTTCATTGAGCTTTTGCCTTCTTTCTTAGCCAAAACAGTGGAGATTGACAGGAAGCTATTAGGAAGAAAAAAGGGGAATGCCTTCGCAATGTGTCACATGACGGACTGCACCACAGCTTTTTAAAAGTTTCCCAAAGTCTACAAGTAAAACTGCTGAGAGGGATATTTCTGGAGCAGAAACAAGCCCACATTCCCACAATCTGTTTATTGGGGCTCTCAACGTATTAATAATGCAAGAAAACCTAAATGCGACAGGACAGCCAAAAAGCCAAACTGCTAGAGCAGATTGTTGCGTGAAAAGAGCACGAAATGCCATACTGTAGCGAGTCAAATAAATAGCAATGCTGTCTCCGCACAAGAAAAATGATTGCCAGGCTGAGTGAAACCACTGAGAAATAAGAATTTCCTTTCAATCAAACCGGCCGTCCACAAAGAGACATTTTCTGAGGTCTCGAGCTCTCTGCAGTGAGGATGGAGCGTTTTGAATTAAACATAGAGGTCTGGATTTGGCTGTGATAAGCAGCCAGTGTTTAACATGAGAGATGGGCTTGTATATGCTTAAAGCTTAAGCTAATGATGTCTCAGAGGAACTCATGTGAAATAAATGTTTCTGCAGAAGACTGATGTTTAAGCTACATACAGACAGATTCTGCAAACTTGAGCTGTTTTTCCTCACTCCATCTCTTAGACACACCAACCAGGCTTCAAGATCTTATGGTGCAGTACAAACTGTGCCCACAAAAAATATTTGGACACTTAAAAATGTCATTGCATTAAATATAAAATATCAAAAAAAAGTGGCATTTGCACAAACTGCTGCTAGAGCAACCAGAAAGTTTCCAAAGAATCCAAAAAAAGTATAATGGTTTCCTGATAATAATAAGAAAAAAATTTTCTTGAGCACCAAATCAGCATATTAGAATGATTTCTGAAGGATCGTGTGACAATGAAGACTGGAGTAATGATGCTGAAAATTCAACTTTGCCATCACAGGAATAAATTATATTTTAAAATATATTCAAATAGAAAACAGCTCTTTAAAATTTTTTTTTTTATATGGTGCAATAAATTGTGCCCTCAAAACACATCATTGAATTGGTATAAAATAGTTAAAAAATGAAAGTAATATATTATATTATATATAATATTCAATTAAATTCAAGTTTATTTGTATAGCGCTTTTCACAATACAAATCATTGCAAAGCAACTTTACAGCAAATTAAGTTTTTACAATATTTAGTGGTAGCTTATCAGTGGTGACTGTCAGTTAATGTACATATGGCAGAAATGTACGGAAAAATCAATTAAAGATGTAATCAAACAGACGATGAACACTATTAACAGCAATTATTATATGATGCAATCAAACTTATAGCTAAATGTGGTAGTTCTAATAAAATGTAGTGATAATTTAAAAATGTTGCTAGAGCTTTTCTTAACGTTAAATCAGCATATTAGAATGATTTCTGAAGGATCATGTGGCACTGAAGACTGGAGTAATGATGCTTAAAATTCAGCTTTGCCATCAAAAAAATTAATTATATTTTAAAATACACTGGAATAGAAAACTGTTCTTCTAAATTGTTCTTTATATGGTACAATACAAATCATGCCGCCCAAAAATATCTGGACACTAAAAATGGCACTGATTAGATATAAAATATAAAACCAAGTGGCACCTGAAAAAAAACTGCTAAAGCTTTTCTTAACTTTAGTTACCGGAGTCATTTATTTTGTATAAAACCAACTAGCGTCATGATTTTTGACAACCAGAAAGTGTCCAAAGAATCCTAAAAAAAAGTTGGTTGTGATACAAAGTGTCCAAACACTCCCAGTGGGCCCTAAACTGATCCATATTCAGTAAACAGAATGGGACTGATCCGTACCTTCTCTAGGGAGAGGATCTGCTGTCTCTGCCTCTCATCCAGCGTCTGACATTTCTTCTGCAGTGCCCCTCGATCCTCCTCCAGACGCAACACCTTGTCCTTCAGACGAGACTTTTCCGATTCCAGATCCCGAATGACCGCCTCGTGAGTCATCTGGGTGGCCTGCAGGCTTCCGATCTGACCTGGACGGCAGAGAGAAAGCCGAGGAGGGTCAATGCTTTGAATGTCATCTAACACAGAGAGCAGACAGAGTCAAAGATCCTTTCCAACTGCCAATACTGTGAACCTGAACACTGCAAATAAACCTCAACTATCACCAGCAGTGTTCAACAGTTTGTCTACTCTTCACTAGATTTAATGTGTCTTGAAGATCTGTCTATGGCTATGTTAATAATAGAATAATAGCACGCTTACTGCATACTGCACAGTACATGCTGTAGACTGCATATTATTTATTAAATATAGTATGTTGAACAGTATAGAAGAGTAAATTATGCTGCATGTTTAATTCAGGAATTTCAGTTGTCACCTCAGAAATAAAAATGGTTATTTAGCATTTCTAATTCCAATTAAATATATATATATATATTTGGCAATCAAAGAAAGCAGCATTTTTGTCTAAAACTTGAACAGTTAAATCCTTTTTGTTAATTGAAATAAAGCTGAAATGAAATACAATAAAATATAAATATTCAAAGAAAGCTTAAAATGTAAAAAAACCTATTTCTTATTTACTGCTTTATTTCAGGTAGTTGCCAAGGCAATATTTTTTGATGTTGAAGTACTAAAATAACTAAAATTGAAATAAAAACAAATTAAATCTAAACAGAAAAAATAGAAAAGTGCATAAAATTACTAAACCAAAAAGACTTAAAATATAATTAAAGTGAAAACTAAAAATATAAAAATAAAAGATAATTTAAAAAAATGTATGAATACTATAATAACACTACAATAAAAAGTCAAGGCAACATTTCTGAGTTTTGTACAAGTTGAAGCACTAAAATTTATAAAAATATGTACAAATAGAAAAAAATAATAAATAAAAATGACAAAAGCACAAGAAAATTTGTAAAACTCAAAAACCTAAACTTAAATGAAAATGAAAACTAAAAATAAAATCACATTTAAAATATGAATAAATATTATATAATACTAAAATAACAGAAAAAAAGAGTTAAAGGTTGATACTGATATTGGGTTTTAGGTTTTGTTACACTGGAAATGGATGGTCAGGCTGGGTGCATTGCATTGTGGGAATCTGAATAGTTTTTGAGTGTCCTTGATTGTTCTGGTACTAGTTAAGTGTTTCTGCAATTTCTTGTCTATTATACTAATAAAAAGCTGTGTTTAATTTAGGTTAATTACATTACAGTTACTGATATCTGCACTTTTTCTCACTACAAACGTTTAAAAAGAAATGCACTTGTCAGTGATACGGCCTGGTGGTCAATGCATGCTCTATCTGGAGTTCAAGCCTGGATAAAAGTCTCAGATAACGGCTTCTACTTCATGTTAAATTCATTAATGCAGTGCAGAAAGCACATAAACACAAACACGGAGTGTGAATCGAGTGCTTAAACACCTATTGTTTCTCCCAGATAAAAGATCAGAAGTGTGTTTGGCATTTAGGTGTGACAGACCCAGCTGGGCTCTGCCTCCCTCAGGGAACATTCCAGAATGTGGGCGATAAACACGGCTAGGACACACAGCTGCTGTTGCCAGGATACCAGGAGCTGATCCGTCACCCCAAACTTTTCTGTCAACAGCAATGGTGCCTGGCAGCTGGAACTGTCTCTAATCTGATGCACCGTTGACTAAATCCAGTTAAACTTTACCCAATAAATATGCCAATAATTGGCATAGTTTATTTGTTTGTTTTTTATTTATTCAAATATCACTATTTTTAGCGTGCGCGCACTTTGGATGGGTTAAATGCAGAGCACTAATTCCAAGTATGGGTCTTTTTAGCTGAATCAGGTTTTAATCTATAAGGTGAGTGACAATAGAATTTAACCTCAAAAAGTAGTTTATTATAATAATTAGTCATTATTTTAACCCATGGACTTAAAAAAAATTATTTGTAATATTAATAATAAAGATAAAAATATAACAGCAGCAACAGCAACAATAATTAAAAAATATATGCTTAATAAAAATGCATGTATTATTAAAAACTATACAAACAACAGTTAAAGTATGTGAATTTCATTTAATTTTACCCAATTATATGCCAATAATTAGTTTAGCTTTTTTTCCCTTTAAATATCACTAGCTAATAGTCAATTGTTTAGATTTGAATATGCCAAAGAAAAATTTATCAAGAAAATAAGGATCTAAAACGTAGATCCTGAAATTTCTGAACAATTAGATGAATAAAAATAAAAACGGAATCAGGTCTTATCTGTAAAGCTACAACAGATTTTAACCTCAAAAAACAGATGCAGTTATTTTAAACCATGCATTTCAAAAACGGAATTGCAATATTGATGATGATGATGACGAGGATAATAATAATAATAATAAAGACTTTAACCCATGCATTTCAAAAATTTATTTGCAATATTGATGATGATGAGGATGATAATGATGATAGATGTTAACCTCAAAAATAGTTACAATTATTTTAGTGCATAAACTTCAAATATTTATTTGTAATATTAATAATTATTATTATTTTAATATAAAAAATGACAATAATAATAATTTAAAAAAACATGACTAATAAAGATGCGTGTATTCTTAGAAACTATACAAACTGTTAACCTCTATGAAATTCATTTAATTTTACTTCAAATTATTTAACAAATAATTTTAAATTTTTATTTAAATTACAGTTCTGTATCCTGCTTAAATTCAATTCAAAGGGAGAAGATCAGTCGGAACCTGAAGGCACTCTGCATTTAATTCTGAATCTCGCACAATCCTGCTGTGCATGCAGGTAATGGATTAGTAGCCTAAAGCAGTGCAGAAGGATGACTCAATGAAAGTGAGCGGAGTGGGATTGAACAGTTGACTGTGAACAGAGGTGATGGGAGAGCATGTGCGTATCTCACTGGCTTTGAGCAGGATCTCTGTGGCCTGCTGCTGCACTCGGTCTCTGGACGCCTCCAGCTCACACTCGGCCTCCCTCTGCCTGATTTCCACGATCTCCGTGTCCTTGGTCACCTCCTCCAACTGTTTATCCAGCTCCTGCAGACACACACACACACACACAAATCAATCAACAAAACGACCAAAACACTTCACATAAACCTCTCTATCTCTCTGTTCATTACTGAGAGCTGCCTCTCTATATTTAACCATCATGAGGTTTCTTGCTTTGGCTCGCTCTCTCTTTCACTCATGTCACTTTTTCCATTTTTGCTCCTCTCACACTGTCTCCTCTGTTCTCAGATTCATCCTCATTAATTGTGCATGTACACATTAGCTCTTTCTCCCTTTCATCTCTGCTCTCTCCTCCGTCGCCTTCTAAAAGAACTTCTCTCGGCTTCCATCGCTCATTGTCTCGCTAACTTTTTCCTTCACTTCCACCATTGTGGAGCTCATGGTCAATTTTTCAAATAATTTTTTTCCCCTGAATGAATTCATTCAATGTATTTTGTTCTTCTTAGAGCAAAGACAGCACAAAGAGAAAGAAACGAACCACTTGTAGGAAAGTTTCAGCATTGTAATGCTACATACAGAGACTTTTTGGTAGAACGAACATGCACAACATGAAAAATACATTATTTTAGTGCAGAACTAAAAAAGATCAATTTTACGCCACTGTTGTCAGATTTTATTGCTGTTTTGAAATGTACTATTAAAACATAATCTTGAAGTTTTGGAGATTTAGGTCTTTGCCCATTCAAGCACACAGGAGCTTTTTTTTTTTTTAAACCAAAAACAAACAAACAAACATCTGCCTGGGGACATACAGTACTAAGATGACCACTGCATTAACTGTTTTGCCTATTTTCTATCCATCCATCCATCCATCCATATTATATGGACAAAAGTATTGGGATATACCTTTTAACTACCGAATTCAGGTTTATTACAATTGAGAACTTATTGAAGTACTTTTGTCTGTCCATCCATCCATCCATATAAAAAACATCAAGTTTGAGGCCAGTAGGTTTTTTTGCTTGTTTGTTTTTAAGAAATTATTACCTTTATTTAGCAAGCATGCTTTAAATTGGTCACATTCATTTATTAAATTAAATTACAGTAAAACATTTATAATGTTACAAAAGATTTCTGGTTTCAAATAAATCCTGTTCTTTTGGACTTTCTATTCATCAAAGTATCCTGAAAAATGGGTTTCCACAAAACAGAAATTTTCAACATTTATAATAATAATTACATAATAACATTTAATAATTACATAATAATTAAGTGTCTATTTAAACGAAGTGCAAATAGCCCGCCTTGTTGGCAGAGGCTCTTTAAACTAACTCTGTGGCTTTTTGACGCAATCGACCCGAGTTCGAATCCTCCTTTCGCCGAACTCATTCTTCTCCCTTTTCACATCACTTATCACATCAGAAAGGTATTTATTTTCAATAAAATGAAGGAAATAATCGAAAAGTGGAAAATAAAGTGCATCATGGGTGTTAATCGGTCAGGATTAGGGGTAGGTGTAGGGAGGGCTTTATTGTCCCAATAAGGTGGCATCCATTCAATAATTTTAATAAAAATGATCATTGCTATTATTGCATACTGTTTTATAATGTACTACAATATCAAGGTGCACATATCTGCCACTTGCACTAAGTAGTATAAATAGCATCTAACTAATATTATTGCAAAGACAATACTTCTATTTTTACATAGTGTAAATAGAATCTATCGCTATTTGCACAGTGTAAATAGAACCCTAAGAAAATATGCTATTTTAACTTAGCGCAGATAGCTGCTGCCTTATAATAATCAATTCAACATTTCAACATTTCAAGTACAACTGTTTTCAACATTGATAATAAGAAGAAAAAATTTTCTTGAGCACCAAATCAGGATATTAGAATGATTTCTGAAAGTTAATTTTACATTAAATGGGTGGTTGATGGCGATTTCACTTTTTTTAATGTTAGTTAGTGTGTAATGTTGCTGTTTGAGCATAAACAATATCTGCAAAGGTATGAAGCTGAAAGATCAATGCAAACGGAGATATCGTCTTTTACAATTCTGGCAGTTTAATGCCTACAAAATTGGCTCATAGGGACTACAAAGAGTTACTTCCCGGGTTCGTTACTTCACGAACCCAGATAAACCCCGCCCCAGGGGAACACGCAACGAAGGGGGCGAGGCCGTGTTGTGCTGCTTTAGAGAAGAGGAAGAGAAAACTAGGGGTGCACGTAATAATCTATTCATATATGAATCGCGATTCTGTCTTCTAACGATTCTGATGGATTCACAAGTTTCAAAATCAATGTTCAAAAGCAGCGGTTCTTAATACTGTTCCTCATGTCCCCCTGCTCTGCATCTCTCGCTCTCTCGCTCTCTCTCTCTCTCTCGCTCTCTCACTCTCTCTCATTCAGATCATCAAAACGTGTACGTTTCATGAACTATGATTGAACACAGAGCCTATTTTTTGCGATAATCCAAAAGCCAATGGAAAATTCCCATTGGCTTTTTGTCGGGCGGATCGGCTGTTAGCATCGCACTAGTTCCCTCGACAAAAAGCCAATAGGATTTTTCCATTGGCTTTTGGATTATCGCAAAAAATAAGTGCTGTGTTTAATCATAGTTCATGAAACGTACACGTTTTGTCCATCGAGATAATCTTCACAAAATAATACAACTTTTATAAATTTTGAAGCCTAAATAAAAGCGCCATAACTAAACTAAGCTAAACTTAGGCTATAACGAACTACACCTCCACGGTCGCTCGCCTTCAACGTCACCACCACCATGCTTCCCACAACTTTTTCAAACTTATTTTTAACATGTTCAGTGAAAAGGATTTACTCTGTGAATGAATTTTAATCCACACTCCATGAACCTTTTCATATAAACTGGAATAAATACAAAACTAGAGCCAAACTAAAACTGAAATGAGACATTAGTAATAAATAGTATAGTGAATAAATGAAATGATCATAACTAAAGGACACATGAAAGCCCGTATTTCAGTACATTTCGAAATAAGGTGCATTTAAAGTCAACAAATCCTTGATTAATATGATTTTTTTTATTAAAAACGTGTCTCCACGTACTATTCAATACAATTCTAGTGCATTTAATCTATTAAATAACGCATCAGTAGGAAAGCGACAAAACGAGCATCTTCCATCTGAAGACTTGTGTTGCATTTCGGGGCAAAGCAAAAAAACATTGTTGTCGAACAACAATATAAAATGTGGGAACTATTAATTGGTTAATCTACAATTAATTGTACTATAAATTATACTACGATTGGAAAATACTGTAAATTGATAAACTGTTCGTCGTGATGACGTTTAATGTCTCCGACAGCGCCTGTAGTCCCATTTAGCAACTTGTTAGCAACCGTCTTTTTGAAGAAACGTAACAGTTTAAAAAAATCACGAGTGGGGTGTAACTGG